AGTATTGTCTCATTACAATATCCTTTCGTAGTTTTCAACTTGTTCCGTTATGCTCACCCATCAAAATTTATAAACATTCTAAGGAATGTTGCTCATTAACAGTATCCTTTTCTTAGTTGCAACTTGTTCCGTCATGCTCACCCATCAAAATTTATAAACGTTCTAAGGAATGCTGCTCATTAACAATATCCTTTTCTTAGTTGCAACTTGTTCCGTTATGCTCACCCATCAAAATTTATAAACATTCCAAGGAATGTTGCTCATTAACAATATCCTTTCCTTAGTTTTCACCTTTTTCCTCACTCATTGAGGACTGAGGCAAGGTACTGAATCTGCTTTAACCTACCTAAATCTAGTGATTATAAGCATTAAAGTCAATGTATTGCCTCGTTCTCCAATAAAGAATGAGCAGGTTTGTACCATAATTGTATTACTCAACTTGACACAGAAAGTTATATAATGATGCCTTCAACAGTTTAGCATTATACATTGCACAGAGTATGTTTATTACAAGCAGTTTTAATATGGTTTATAATAGCTAATAAAATCTGAAAATTAAACGGAAATAAGTCCTTGATCGATATATTTAATTTTCGTTTGCGTGACTTTATGTATTCTTTGTTTCTGCCTTTTATGTTATTTTTAGTTCTTTCTTTCTCCCCCCCCCTCTTTTTTCTCTCTCTTAGCGTCGATTATTCTTTCAACAAAACCTCGACCACTTACGGATTGACGAAATGTAGGGAACGATCTTTTTCCGCTAACATACGCTAACTCAGATAGGGACTTAAAATCGATTTATTCAAGTGTAATACTCGAGGTTTCCTCTACCCACATGGGTCTGCATGCAAACGTATAATAACAAATGCTCCAAATGCGTGCACTGTTATTTGGGCGAAACTTCTGCACAGTCTATTCCTTTGTCTATGAAAAAATCATGTAGGAAAACCGATCAGCACCACCTATCCATTTGCGTTTCCTTTTTCTTTTTTTTTTTTTTGTCTGTGTTTATCAGTACTTTCTTTGTGTGGCGTGAGATAAGTTTCTTAGGCCATTAAAATCAACACAAATTCGTAAAATATTTGTGGTTGGTATTTACTTCCGCAAGTTCATTCAAAAATTCTATAAATCAACAGTAGAAGCTGTATAATCATAGATGTGATTTAATGGTTTCTAAAGTAAATCACAGGAACACATTAGCACCTTTGAAAGAATACAGTAACGCATTATGTAGTACGTTATAATTTTATAAAATATAAGTTTCTAATTCTAAACCATAGAAGTTTAAAAGTATTGATAGGAAACGTTTAATTAAGAAAAAGTGTTTTAATTTTTTTTTTACTAAGTGGATTATGATTACATTCAAACGAATAACATACAAGATAATTCTGTTTTTTTTATCATCGACATCACGGTGTGCATTTGAAACACTTTTAACAGAAGTAAACCATAATTAATACTATAGCAGAACATTTTTCATAT